AAACTGCAGATTGCAAGCATTACGAGCGTCAAGTTGGAACACTGAAGCAAGGTGAGTCATTATATATGTTTTGCAATGCGTGTCAATCCGAGGATTGAGTCCCGCAAGGCCGCCAGTCAATTCATGGATGCAGGAGGGCCTCGACTGATTCTCAATGTCCTCAGCCACTGGGCACGGTCAATGACACTGCATTGGATGTTTTCTGGTGTTGTCAGATTGTCAGGCTTGTATTCAACAGGTGGTCTCTTATTTGTGCTTGTGCAGCACTGTGCAGCGAAACTTTTGTTAGGCAAACAGTCCGACAATGCTGCTGTGGTGCATCATGCATTGTCTGCACTTGCGGTGGCAGCTCAATTTGTACCTGCCAGAGCCTCAGGCTGTCTCATGGTGACGATTCGCTGGCGATGGCCCCATTTGTTACATTTCCCCTAGAAGCCCAGTTTTGACCGACTCAAGTAACTAAGCTCCCATTCAGGTCCGCACAGACAATTCTTTTTATAGTCCTTGACTCCCAGGGTTTCCATTCCCGTTGTGTACAATGATATTGCACAGAAGCAAGCCGCCCACCATCATGCCAGATTCAGACACAACGCATAATGTGATATGTTCCAAACAAAACCAATCTCTTCAACATGTCCAAATGCGCACTTCAAACACAAGGACTACTGTAGGCCTTGCCATCTTCCCAACTTGTTTCGAATCTGCAAGGTCCGTCGTGCAATGGTGCATCCAGAGCTACCTCACACGCTGACCTTCTTTGATCAGATTTTTCGTCTTGCCGAGGTCAGGTCGATGGGAAGCTTCTCACAGAAACAACATCCGAACCAGCAAACCTAGCCCCGCAGAGTGCTGAAACCGCATGCAGTCATATCCAGTATTGGTTACTCTTTCGGAGCGTCCAGCCATTGAGACAAGATCAGGTCCCGACTTTAAAGAGTGGATTGGCTTCTGTAAGAACTTTTGAGATCCCATTGTTTGAAGGCGCACGTCGGGACCATTCCAGACATACTTTGTTGGGCTTGCTTGGCGGCCGGTGCTTTATCAGAGTGCGAGCATGAGGAGAGTCAGGACAGTCCCAATGCTGCGGAAGGTGTATACACTTGCCGCCCCGCGTGCCCCAAGTCAGTGCGGCAGAGTGTCATTTATGTTTGATATAACAAACAACGAGAGTAGTTATACTAACTAATTATATGTAAATTGATTGTGTATATATTATATATATATTATTATATTGAGGTAATGATGCGGTTAGTATGTTGTTTGAGCTTGCAGAGAAACAATGTATCCATGTAGCACAGTATTTTGGAATTGTTTGTGTAGTGTGTTTAGTGCAATCAATTTCCAGCAATGACATAAATGTAGGTAGTTGCTGCGGGACGTCGTACTCTCAATTGACAGCATATTCTGATGATTATTCTACTTTTTCTCGTTCCAACCCAGGTTTCCCTAGCAGCCAGGAGATTATGCGGAAAGCCATGAACATGGATTTGGTTCAGGCCATGCTTACGAAGATCCACTCGAACTTCTATTCCCAGGTAGACATGGTATTTTGCCAAGAGCTGATTTCAATTGCAGCCAAGAGCACCTGTTCTTCAAAGGCGGATGTTGTCGGGCAGGGCTTAGCATCGCGAAAGCGAGCTCTGAAGGAGGTTTCCTGAAGTTCTCGTTATGGGGGAGGGTTGGAATTGATAGTTACAAAAACGATCGATTGGATTAACAGACACCCCCCACTTTGCGTAATAGAATCAATTGTTACCAAACCATTATGGTTGTAATTAGAGGAAATGGCCTTCCACGGGTCAATTCTCATAAAGAAGGTGCATGATCCCCCGTGCCACTGGGCCATTGCCAGGAACTCTCGATCGCTCACAGCACCGGGACTCCAAGTGATCACAAACGACCCATGTGTCACTTGAACTGACGAAGTCAGAAGCACAAACATCATCGAGAGGTGAACTGGTTCGTGACTGTAAGACACTATAAGCTGCTATTCAGTTCCTCAACTGCCTCAATCGCAAGCATCAATTGAGTGATTGGAGCCCGCTTAGCGAAGCAAGGATTGTTTCGAATCAACATGTTCCGCACAAGTATTGTTGGCGACACCCCCCAAGCATCAGCAAATACACCATCGCTTGCATTGGTGGTCATTGTCTTACCAGCTGGTGGCACAGTATTAATCCTCTTTTTTTTCAGTCCCGCTTCTCCAGTTCTGTTTTTACCCGCAGCGATTGCTGAACATGGGCTGACAGGGAGTTCGTCAGGCTCCGATTCGAGACCGGCGAGCCACTCGTGTTAGGCTGCATAGCACTTCTTTGTTTGCAAAGCCGCGCCAGACGTAATGTTTGGTGCCATTAGGTTATATCACGTTATATCTACAATAGACATGACATGAATGTATTATGTAGCATCATCCCGTCTAGTTTAGAAAAAAAGGTCACTTCATCCCGTCACAGGTCTTCGTCCCTTAGGCCTTAGGCCGTGCTTGGCCTGAGGCAACTTGTCAGACCGCAACATTCTGGCGGCCACCGGGGAGATGCTAAAGATGCCAGCCCGCCGCAAGGACCTGGCAGAGCCACCCAAGAGCTTTCACGAAGAGACGGTGACAGTGGTCCCAACGCCCAGCAAGGTTCAAGGGGATTGGCATGAGCCTTTGGATCTCTGGACTGCAGAAAAAGCCGTGGGCACTTATATTGGGTTATATAGATTCCTTTTTCACACACACACACACTGCACATGCACATATATAGAGAAACATGAGAAATAGACTTATAATATACGCATTTATTTCTTATGAAGTACGGCTGCGGTTTGGGGTGTGTCTGGGTAGGCGTGCAATTGGATGGACAGGTGTGCACGGACCGATGGATAGGTTTTACGTGCACAACACTCCATAGGTTTTCTAAGGCAAAACATCGTTTGGGACCCCTTTAGTTGTTATCATAACCCTGAATACATTTATTGAATGCTGAATGCTCATGACTGATGCTCATGACGTATGTGAAGTCTTCTCCCGAATTGGAGGTCGCCCACGTACTGAGGATATTTTCGCCCCGCTCCGCCGGTTGGGAGTCGGTGCTTCTCCTGATGAATTTGGGGCTGCCATTACGCAAGAGCAGATCGCGGTTTTGCAAGGCTGCAATGCAAGGGAGTGTGAGACGTACTTGAAGCATACAGCAGGTGAGACCATTGGCTGCAAGCTCCGGTCTTCAGTTATAACTTTTGGTTCCCTTGAAATTGGCAGGTGTGGCATCTGCACCTGTAAAGGCTACTGTCGCCAGCCAATTCATGAAAGCCGTGAAGGAAGAATTCCTAGATGGCAGTGGGCCTAGTCAAGCGAAGCCAATCCTGCCAGTGAGTGCGTCTCCAAAAGTGAGGTCACAAGGGGTCCGTGGAGGTCTTCATGAACCGACGCGGGCCACCCGAAGAAGGAGATGATGGAGAACTCTATGAAGGAGAATCGGGGCAAAAAAGCATGCAAAGCTTGGTCCTGAGCAGCGGGCTTTCAGCTTTTAACGTGCACTGGCGTCAGGTGGGTACATTCTCACCACAGATGAGCAGAGATCACTCAGACCCTTCATTCAGCGTGTAGCCCTCAGAAGGGAAGAAGCACTCAGTGTGCGTTCGACTCCCGACAAGACAGCAAGAAGCACTGCTCCAAGACTCAAGGGCATGCTTCAGTGAACCATACAAATTACGGTGAAAGTGTTTGTTGTTTTCGGAGCTACCATGGCTGCCTGGCCAACAAATTCATATCATGCTCACAGTGGGTGTGTCAAAGTGTTCGGATATCCTTTACGTTTTTTTGCAGCTCCAAATTTCCAAGGTATGCGAGATGCACCTGATAAGGAGAAGGAGTACAAAGAGATTGAACATCGGTGGAATGTGAAGGCCTTTCGTCAATGATTCGTTGCTACTATTGTTGGGCCGTTCCAACTTGCACAATCACGTGAAAGGCATGCTCCAAAACCAGACTGTCAAAGTAATAAGTTTTGACTTGGAACTATGCGTTTGATGGAAGAGCAAACCTATGTACTGCAACCAATGTCAACCTATAGAACCTTTGTGTCCTAGTTCCGGTGAATTTTCCGAAACTTTGTGGCTGAGATGCTGCAAAGCAGCATGGTGCACCTTAGGACATGCCAGATGTTGATGCAAACAAAGCGTGGAACGCCTGCAAGTTTGCATAGTTTGTTACAAGCGCCGGTTCCTGCGGTTCCTTCACGGTGAGAACTGCTCACGGACTGTCCGGTCCGGTAGAGACATTCTTTCCGCCGACCACCATTTTGGTTTTCACTTGATTTCGCCCTAGGGACCCTACAAATGTTTCAGGGCATGAGTCACGGGCCAGCTTGTTGCACACCAGCCAGCCAAAAAAAAACAAGCGACGGAATGGTCCACATCCCGTCGGGTAGTAAGCTTCTTCCCACCTGGAGGCTGCAGAAGAGCCAGAAGAGCAAGGCTGGGAATTTCTGACTGAGGCAGTTGGTTAAAATTGTGTCAAAGGTGGTCGGTTTTTCATGGTTTATATATACGGTTTCTCTATATTTTTTTATTCATTCCGTGTCCTCAGGAGGCTTCTTCACCAGTGTTTTTGGAGACGGAGATGCGAGGAATCCCGAAGCCAAAGCCAAGGCGCCAGCGCCAGTAGCACCTCCCAACGCGCAGGCTTCGCAGCCCAACCCCCCAAAAGCGGCAGGGAAAGCCAAAGCCAAACCCACCCAGGATGAGGACGAGAGTGACTGAAGATGACTGGAGAGTGTTGCAAAAGGTAATCAGATTTACGAAGCCCTGGCGCATCCCAAAGGGATCCCGATCCAGAGGCGAAAGAATGGATCCTGCGAAGAACGAGGGGAAAACCACGCGGCAATTGTGCGCAACAGTGCAGCCTTGTGAAACTTGCAACTTGCAAGTAAGATGTTTGCAAGATCTGTCAATTCGACCATTGATATCACCATGATCTACTCGCCGATGACTCACCCGTTTCGCCGCAATTCGTCAAGGATCGACCAAGTGTGATTGCTACTGGGTGCAGTGACGGGCAGGCAGGCGGTTTCTCGATTTCTGGAAGGAAACTTCTTATGTATGTTCAATAGACATGACTCGCAAGGAGAACTGAAAGGTAAACTCCTGCAAAGATATCAACATGAGATGCGTACAAAGAAACTGCTGAATAAACAATATATAGAGAAATTTGATGAAATTGGCATAGTTGGCCATATACACAATGAACTGTTTGGCACGGGTGCCACAGCTCACAATGAACCTATCCATCAGACTAGCGTCCTTGAATTGGGCGGAGGCGCGAATCTTCAGCTTGGAGTCTCCGGGAAAACCGTTGGCCCATCTGGCGAGTCATGGGGGGCAACTTTGTCATGTTCTCTTCCTGTCAAAGGACATGAGTGGAGCGTGGCCCACCATGGATCTTCTCTATCACAGCAACGTATGGCCCGTGCTTGGGGAATGCGTCATTTGTTGCGTTCTTCCAAAGCCAGAGATGCTGCGCCCATCGGATGCAGCAAAGCGGAATCATTCATGCCAGGTGAGCGTTCGCCACGATGCCACGAATCGGGATCCGTTGTATTCAGTGAGCCTCACGCCGTGACCTCAGTTTCTGTCAAGAAAGGCACCTCACTTTCGTTGGCTACAGCTGTCACCGTCCATGTGGAGGGGCGTTTGTTCTGTGAGTCTCCCTGCTCGATAAGGCATGGCGCCAATGGGCCGCGATTGCTCACCGGATCTTGGGATGGGCGATGGCACGAATGGGAGTCCTGGCCAGCTCGGTTTGGGTCCTGGTGGCCTTGTGTTTGCTGCTTGGATTTGCCAAAGTTTCGGTTTATTGCTGACCTGACATTCTGCAAAGTGGAACAATATTGCTTTCTTTGTTTGTTTTTTCTGAAAATGATCTTTTCTCCATCAGCCAGGCATATCAAGACACCATCCATTTTGTACTGCATGCATTCACATTCATTAGTAACAAGGCCGGCAAGACCAGCAGAGCTCGGGCTCCCAGACTGTTTTTTTGCAATTGTTTTATTTGTCCATTTTCTTGGGAGGGGCTGGAGCGGCTGACGGCCACAGTGATTGAGACAGAGCAGACTGACTGTCACAGAATCATGGCAGATTCGGTGCAGCTTCGTTGTTCCCAGGTTTCTGAGAGGCGAACCAGGTGTCGGCTCATTGCTCAGCTTGACACCTTGAGATTAGGAAGTGAATATTGTATCATTGTACCCGGGTGTCACCTGCGGCTCCTCGCTTGCACAGGTCATGACAACCAGGTAACTGCCCTTGCCTTGAGCCGCGATGGCAATTACCTTGCAGCAGACTCAGATCATCCACCAGTCCTCAGGTCATCCGTGCGAGGAACATCTTTGGCGAAGAAATGCCGGTCAGTATGAGGTGTATGGTTCATGTTGACGGACCTAGGCCTGTGCATGCTCTGCTGGCAAGGTCTTGGTGTATCGGCGCAATTGCCCGCGCGGGGCCCTGTCTCTGGCATGTTACTGGCAATGCATATGTTAATTGTGTTCTGCACAGTATATATTGTTTTTGACTTGATTTCACTCCGGTCCATGTTGCAGATCTTGGCTCAATAAACTGAAGGATCCTTTGACACTCCAACTCAAGAAAGGACCATGCACCGCTCGTGGACCATCCTACTTTTGGCCTCCTCGGCTTGTGCAGAGTTTCTGTCTGCGGGGAATGCCACCGCACGCAACTTGGCCCAGTGTCATGACTGTGGGGTGTGCGTTTGTGTGCCCAAAGGCACGTGCGATTATTGCAATGGCATGGGTGGCAAGGCCAAGGTGACGAAGACCTACAACGTTGGAGGTTCTGCCGGATCCGCTGGAGCCTGGAGTGGAGGAGGGCCTGAATTGGTGAACTGTGGAGTGTGCAAATATGTGCCACGAAGCTCTTGCCAGTATTGCAGTGGCCAGGGTGGGCCTGCATCGGTCGACTCTGTTGTTGCGTTTGGAGCTTTGGCACATTGGCCGTCCATGCTGACTCTCTCGGCGGTGGCCTTGTGCCTCAACTAATCAGACACACACACACACAGACGGGCACAGACACCGTTTGCATCCTTTTACAGCACCCCGTAGTGAGGTGTTCAGAAACTGTTGTGCTATGCCATAAGCGCTGGCCATGCACAGATAATTATGAGCAAAGTGTACAGCTGAAGTTCCTTCAGGTGCAAGGAACATTGCAGCCAGATGCAGCCAGCAGACTGCGAGGAACATATTCCGTCCGATGAGTCTAATGTAATTGCATTATGCATACATATATGTATCCTACCTCTTTGCTTAATGAGGGTCATAGCTAGCCTGCACCTACAAAGCCGCTTTTTTTCAATAGACTATATATATTAGGTGCAAAAATAATGTCAATCACTACAATACAGACACAGTTTCATGCAATCATTGGAGACGATAGCTATTGGGGGGCACCAACCATTAGCGTTGGACTTGCATGAAACAATTTGTTTTCCGAATCTCGGAGCTTTTCGATGTTAGAATCCGGCAGGAGAGGCTTCCTTGAAGAATCTCACTGATAAAAGCTGCCTAGTATTATATACTACTAGGTAGCTTAGCTTCCTTAGTACTTACCTTCTACCATCTTAAAGGACCTACCCTAGACCTTTTGATGGGCTATGCCCAGAATGCAGGTGCCACATGCTAAATGCCTGTTGCATCAAGTTGCCAACTTGCAGCTGTTTGTTTGGCTTGGCCCAGGACACGTGAAATTGAGCTGTTGGACTTCGATGACGTGATGGAGCTGAAAGATGTGCGGGGCGTGAAACGCTTCGACATGTAGACTTAGTCCCGCTTTGGGCCATTCATACCCAGTCGCAAGCTACAGGTCGCACAACCTGGCAATGGTTTGCCATGGCTTGCCTTTGCAAATGCTAGGTTTGCCTAGATTCTAGCTCCGCATATGCCCGAATGCATGAACCTGACTGAAATCCTCACCACTACCACTTAGAATACTTTTGATTCGGACCCAATTGAGTAGTTTGTTTGCTGCCCCCTTTGGCAGTCGCTGAAGTTGGGTGACCACGGAGAATTTGTGGTGCAGAGACGCCCTGACCTGAGTGGCCGAGTCGGTTGACTGAGTGTTTCTTACTCTGTATGACTCTATGACATGACTTAGTGCAGAACACGCACATGTCGACTTTCGCATGGGCCTAGCACAGAGGCCTAGAACTGGCAGATGGCAGCGTTGTCGTTGAGCCACAGGAGATGTGCAGATCTTCCAAAGTCCTAGCATGCCGCAACTGAACCCCTTTAGTTTTCTTTGTGCTGACGTTTGACTTCACCTGCTTGGGGGAGGCCATGGACGTGTCCATGGCCGACCGGCCCGTCCCTTCTCAGGACCAGCTGTTGCCCGAAGCGAGCCTTGAAGGATTCAAGCGGCGCTCAGAGCTTGTTCACCAGCTCAGAGTGGTGCACAAAATTCAGAATCTTGAAAAAACGGGCGTCGATTTCTTGACACATGGTCGGTGTTAGAGTTCGAGGCCTTGGTTATGTCGAAAATCAGAGGCACCCAAGTTGTGAGATTGTGAGGATGACGTCGAGCTGCCTGCACGGTTCAGATTTCGCTTTGTGGGAGACTGAAGAGGATGTTCCTGTCACCATGTCCTGGTAGTCATCATCATAGAGAGAGAGAGAGAGAGCGGCATTCAACCAATCCAACATGTTCCTGAAGCACAATGACTCACAATGCCCTCCCCTGGTCCGATAAACATCTTGCTGAGGTCGGCTGCATGACGCAAGGTTTTCGAAGGGCTTGGCGGAGCCTTGACCATGCTGGGGGCCTTGACCATGCTGGGGCCATGTTGAAGGATCAGTCTCACAGTCTGAGGATGCAGCTGTTCTTTGCATGATCCTCACGGCCGAAGGCCAGACCTGTTTCTGAGCAAACGCTTGTTTTGTGTGTGTGCTCATTCTTATGTTTTTGGAGCATCAGTTTACCAGAGCCACCTTCAAATGGCAGGTTCCTCCGAGGTGCTCTACTCTGGTTCCAGCATTTTGGCTGCAATTGCTCCTCCCATGGTGAAGATGGGCGAACAGATTGCGTTCTGTCCTGCCCAGCCGCTTCCCCGGGAAGTCACAGAAGTCGAGCCTAGATTCAGCAAAAGAATTGAGGCATAGAAAGTTGCAGTAGAAGATGTGAAAGAAGAGCCAATGGTCTTCAATGATTCGAGCCTCATGCGCTTCATTGCCCACAGGGGATCGGCAAATTCGCAAATGGCCTGCGGCACAGATCGCGAGGTGAACCTTACTTGATCAGTATGAGCCAGTTTGTCATATAGTATACGGAGACGTGGAGAGAAGTTTGCGGATTCTTAAGCTTTCACCTTGCACAGGGCCCAAGCTTTCCTCGAAGCCCCAGGTCCTTGCAGGATGGAAACCTGCTTGCCAAATACACTGGGCTCACAACTTAGTCCTGCGAGAATTCAACGTTCCGATTGTACTGTCATGTATGTGTACATTATATATATTGTGCCTTAGATTTGGGCATCATGAGCAATGACTTGTTACTGCAATTGGCTTAGTTTGGCATCCGCAACGTCAGGCATTCCTCCATGGTCCGTTGCCTCGCAGTCAACTCGTATTTGGCGAGTGGAGACTCCAGCTGGTTTGGAGAGGTCAGAGCAGCGCATGAAAAGCCGAGAGCCAAGTGGGAACAGGACCTGTCCCACTCCCCATTTCGACGTCCTGGGCCAACTGTTGGCCGTTGGCTGTGGCCTGTTGCCCGCCAGGCAGTGATGACCGCAGCATCCGAGTTTGGCGAAGGGATGCGCGGAGCTCGTCTCGCTGCGCCAACTGCATCATTTGCTTTCATGTTGAATGCCAGACACTACAGTACTCGCATTACTGGCAAAAATGTAGTAATCTAAAATGTAGATGCCACACTTGCAAGGCTATGCAAGGCTCACAGATGTGAGGATGCTCATATCTCCTATTTTGGCGTTTGGTGCGACAGTTGAAGTGCCGAGGCAACAGAATGTGTTCGTGTCATCGCCGCGCACAAAGACTTTGTAACTTGGTTGCGCTCTCTATGCTAGGCACCCCACAGAGCTGGCCGAGAGAAGGTGGATCCTTTGTAAGGGTGATCATCCGATTTCTTGCAATGTGTTTTGAACAGGTGGGATGGGATTGCATCGAAAGCAGAAGCAGACAATTTCTTAATGAATCTATATATACATGACTATGATCTACTATGATTACTATGTATAGTGGATTATAGATGATTATAGTTGTATTTTGCACGAGTCATTATGATGTGATTTAGATTTGTGAACGCTTGAGGTTCGTTCGATTGCTTGGTGCAACGTATTCGCAGAGCGCATGGTGCTTCAGACTTAGTGTGCACAGTGTGATTCGACCATACATGGAACGAGACACAAGCCTGTTAATTCTCCATCAGCTATTATTTAGACGATATTTATTGTGTCCTTTGAACCGAAAAAAACACCAAGCTCGGGGTGTAGAGGAACCTGCCAAGTCACTGCATGGTTTTTAGAGATGAAGACTGCCGGCTTTTGCATGGCGCATTTCAGACTTCAGGTCTGCAGGGGACGATCGTGCTATAACGTTGTGGAATACAGAGACTGGAGAGATGCTAAGACAGTTCAGCTCTCAGAAACAAATCCAAATGCTCGTTGCTGCTGTTGAGACACGAAACCTACTTTCTCGACGTTTCATTTTTTTCATTGGACATACATTGTTCATTTCCAGTCAGATGGGAATTTGTCTAAAGCTGCGCTGCTCCTTGCTCTAGACACACTGAAGTCCAACACAGATACACACACACACACTTGCACACCGGCAGCTCACCCCCCATCCAGGTATCCACAAGATTCTCCGGCAGTTGCGGTTCTTTTGGCTGGATCGCGTTTGGCAGCAGCCTGTGAGGCAAGCGAATCTGACAACTCGTGCAAAGAAAAACATCTTCGGTGGCTCGAGTTGATCGATTTAGCTCAATTTGAAACATGTTGCCGCATAATTGCATATCTCCCAACAGAAGGACCTTATACTGTAGATCCTCATAGACCATCCCATAGGTACCCCAGTAGGGTCCTATGAGATCACTTAACCTCTGTTGGTCCTGTTTGACAAGATGTGCCAGTGTTGAGAATAAAAGCCTAGTGTGGCTGCGACTAGTTGAGAAGAGCGCTGCTAGTAGCGCTGCTATGTTGTGCAAAGTTTGTTTCCATCGCCATGTTGACACAGCAACAAATGTGGGCAACTAGTTTCAAGCCTCAGGATGGCCGAATGCGGATCTATGACACTGAATCATGGTTGCAAGCAGGGAAGAAGCAGTCACCAAAGCTTTCTACTTCAAAACGCTTGGGTGTTGGGGCCGGGGTTTTCAACAATCACATTCATCAGCATTTAGCATAGTTTGCCCTTCCACCGCAGGAATCGACGGCTTTGCTGCACACTGTGAAGCAATTGCCTCGGGTGATGGTGATTCGTAGGCCTCGCAACGGAATTCCACTCAGGCATCCACAGCGGCTGGCGAGTCTGGCTTGGCTGAGAGTGAACTTGTCATGAATCCCTGCGACTGACTCTGATCATTTTAAGGTTCTGAAATCATTTTGCAAAATAGATGTGGGCTGGAAGAGGTCCAAAGATGCCCTACAGCTAGCCCAACACATGCGCAGCGAGCAAATACTGCTCGCAGTCAACGACAGATGTGCTCAAGGGAACAGAACTCGGTGAAAGGAAAGTGAAGCATGGTGAATTGCTCAATCAACAGGTCGAGAGAAGCAGGTGATTGAGACACAATGGCCACGTGAGTTTGCCGACAAGGCCATCGACAAGGCCTATGCACGACAAGGTTCGACCCCGAAGCATCTTGAGCCATTTTGGCCTTGCAGCAGTTTAGATGTTCACGCGCACAAGAGTCAAAGGCAGATACAAGAGTCAAAGGCAGATACAACCAGATATTCACATGACAGCACGAGCAAACTGTGTTTCACCCTGCGCACCATGAGCAACGATCAGTTCTTCTTGTTCAGTTGACAGGGTTGCAGAGATGGCGACCAGGCAAGCACGATTGCTCTTCATAGGTGAGGATGGCGAGGACCATGTGGCCAAGAATTCTTTTGTGTAGCATGCGCAGACACAGTGGATCCTTGCTTGGCGCTTTTTGTTTGTGTTTGGGTGTGGGGTGGGGATGGGGCCTTGATAATAATTTTTGGTAGATCTTTAGTAGTCAGCAGAGGTCATCCTGAAGGGTGGGGACGTTCTTTGTTTTTTTCGGGGGGCCTTCCCTTTAAGATTGTAGGACCAAGTCAGGACCGCTCGAATATGCCACTGGATTCAATGGAGTGCAATGTACCACTGGATCAACTTATTGTTTGGAGAGGGATGGATGGCTGGACACAGCTGGATGCAAGAGAACTGAAGAGCTCCAGCCATCGGATTTTGGAGCGCCACGCCTCCCTGCTCTCAGAGGCTTTCGGCACCACGATCAAAGCCGCGGAGAGAGGGCCTCCACAAGGACCAAGCGCTGTTGATGAAACGAAAGGAGCAAGAGGGGCGACCTGTTCACTTGAAAGAGCAGTCAGATACTATCACAAAACTGTCCAGTTCCCATGTTCCTGGAGCAGAGGGCGAGATCAGCGCAATGCATGCAAAAAAAGAACAAGAAAGTAATGGCTGAAGCCAAGAATTGGATACTGGAGTTATTGCATAAGCCAGATCTCTTCATGTTGGAGGAGAGGCGGTATCTAGCTCTCATCCTTGCCACAATTTTCGTGTTGCCCTTAGTGAACTCTGCTACTGCAAGTAGCATGAAGGTGCCTGTACAAAAGCACAAAGTTCCTTTCCACATGCAACGGAGCTAGAGGGTTTTTGACCTTTGCCTCGCAACGCAAAGACATCCGAACCAACTCAACAAGTGATCCTGAGGTTCTTTGGCACTGCACCAACTCAACAAGTTGGAAGCTGACCTTCGCAGGTCACACTGCCAGCTTTAGCCGCCAATGTTTGGGCCCTTAAAACGGTCATTGCCACACCATACACTGTATACAGTTAACAGCTGATCCTTGCTTGGGTGTGCAGACCCCCATATTATGTCCGTAGTTGGAGGGGCAACAAATAAATAAATTGGTGTTTATATATATATATATATATATTATTGTATATATATATATGTAACGTGTGTAATTACATCATATCTTATGTGTGTGCATATATATATATATACACCAGATCTCTCATTGTGCCATGCTGGTTTAAGATCGTTCCATTTTTCTAGGCCTTTTCATCCCTAAACTTGCTGATATGCCAAACCTTCCTGTTCTTGTATCAAATTATTGTATATACATATATATATATATATTCCCAAGCTTCTTCCTTTCTCGAGCCTCCAATGTTGACATGTTTTATTATCCAGAAGTTAGGATTAATAAATTCTGTTCAGTTCTTCATGCAGTTCATTGCGTGAGTGAAGATTCAACAGCGCATGGCAACACATGAAGCACCTTGGGTGAACAGTTGGTATTGACTCATTGACGCTTCCTTTGCTCGATTGTCAGCAATCTTCGAAACTGCATTCCGTTTGCAAGAAGAACGACTCATACGAGTGCAAGCAGGTGGCTATTGAGACCGGGAAGCATGAACAAGCTAATTGCATCAGAAGGAAGAGCGCTGAACAAGAAGAGTCACTAAGAGGGGGAGCTATGTAACGGAACGCCCGGCAAGTGACATTGGAATTGTGCTGCACTGCTGAATAGAGGATCTAGGAGTGTGACACATGAGCGTTGCACAGCAGGAAAGGCTAAGCTTAACATCTCCTGCACGAGGAAGTATGTGTGTGTGTGTCACAAGAACTTTTTGTCGCGGGTGTTTCTGAGTGATCGCAAAAGTAGCAGCATCCAAGAATGGAAAGATGTAGCGAAGACACTGAGAACCAAGAACAAACTGAACAAACCCTTGAGAACAGCAAGAGCATGTGAAGACGAGGGTGAATCAACACTTCCGCAGGAAGAGCTGAATTGATAAGTCAAAGCAATGTCAAGAAAGGAAAACTAGACATGCAGACATGGAAACTGAAGCGAGCCATGGCAGGGACAGATATATAAACCAAACCAATCAACATGAACAAGCAAAGCATATGAATACTGTATCTACTAGAATCTACATATATATATACAGTATATATTATATTATAGTATATATATATATAAGAGCTGAGGAAGAGGAAAAGGGATATCACGGGTTGGGTAAGCGTGTGCGTGTGTATATATATATACACATGTATATAGTGCACTCCCATAGGCTAATACAGGAGTCAATGTCTTTATTTCCTCAGCATGTGGAGAGGCAAGCTCCCATAGACAGACATCTCAGCCCTTACTCTCATGGGTGTGGGGGAGTAATTGGCCCACTCGCAGGGCGGTCTACACATGTCTACACCGCTCAGGTCAGCCTCGCACCTTGCGAAGAGGCATTTTCGAGGAGCGGGCATTGCGATTGGTTTGGCGACTCGAAAGACCGGGAAAATGCAGAACCCCATGGCGACTCATACTCATACATGAAGCATCCAGCTTTCACCATCTTTCACCTTTTCCCACATGGAAAAACTTGCAACCAGTTATATAACTACTGCTTGGCAGTAGGAACAGGATAGAAATCACATCGAGATGCCGCATCATTCCACGGCTGAGGACATGCAAAAGAGCTTAACCGACTCTGCTGTTCAGGCTGCATCAGGTGCGATACGGCCGGCGGGCCTGCGGGCGGCTGGGTGTGCCACAGGCATCCGTCGGATTCCTGTGCCTGGGCAATGAAAACAACACGACTTCACTGTGGTTGATTAGGCTGAGCAATTGAGCGGGCTTTTGTTCGCGAACGGAGATCATAGCATCAATATCAATCAATGGGCAGACCTCGATGCACAGCACAGCATGCTGTTGTTCGTGCTGCCTCAAGAATTGGCGTATTTTGTTCCACATGTTTTCCCACTCATGAATCGAAAGATGCCAGGTCTCTCAAAGGAAGAGAACGAAGCAATGCTTGAAAATTGCAGGAGCCCCAGTTGGAGGGAGGCACTCTTGTGCTCCATTAACCGTGATTGGGTAAGGCGTCCTGCTCAGAAATGAGGCAAGAGCGGCAAGATGAGCCTTGATGACTACTTGGTCGTCATGAAAATGCCTGACACTTACATCCGTACAGTACGACTCAATCATCGAAAAACCGGCTGTGGAGTTTGGGCTTTGGAGGGGCCACGAGCTACCCTTGTGTAATAGAAAAGCCAAAAAGACTCGCCAGAGTTGCCTCACGAGGTTTGGCAAGCTGGGAGAAGTAGGAGAGAAGGCAAGGCAAAGATCCGAGTATAGAGCGGTTTCAACTTCAATTTCCTTCATTTTGAGACTTTCTGAAGCCGAGGGTTTTACTTCAGAATGTCCACTAAAGTGTTGGAATTCTAGAAATCTTTCGGTCAAGTCCTCAGGTGGGACCATTGAAAGACATGTGAGCAGCTTATTGCGGCACCGCATTCGCCAAGTTCATTGAACGTTTGCACAGTCCAGATTGGACAATTGATTCTGCACTTGACTTCGTGGGTGGTTTGCCAGAGGGTTTGGCTAAGATGAGTTGCTTTCGCCTACACTTGAGAGAGCACAGGACTTGGTAGCCATTGGTAGCGTGATGTAGTGTGTCAAGGGAAGCCTCCTAGGCTGAAATTGTCACAATCCGTGGACTTTCATGATCGCCATGAGGCTTCAGCAGGGGAGCAACACCCAAAATGTAGAGGACGCGAAAGAGAGGTTTGCTGAACAGGCGCGCCCGCATGGACCGCTAAAGGTATCGACTTGTCTCAGGTGATTGTCCATGAAGCGATAGGTCCAAGAAGATGCATATCATGTGAACCCCGAAAAGATCACTTGCACATTTAGCACTCAGCTGCTGAGACAGAAAAGGTGTGAAGATAATACATAAGAAAGAGCACCAAGTCCTGACTTTTATGATCTTTTATGAACGGCTGCTGTTGCCGACTCTCTTCGGACGCAGGAGCAAATGGTAAAGGTGATGACCGATGAGGACCAAAGATGGGCTTCACCGTCAACCTCTCTCTCTCTGTGTATATATAATACAGAAGGGGTGGCCATGGGGCCTGGGTTTGAGTTTTCCATAAATTTTAGGTAAATGCTAGAAAAATGCATTGGTGCCACAGTCACGACTAAAAAACACTCATAAATATGCATAAAGGATCAAAAACACATAAGAAAAAGAAAAAAAAATGGGAAAACAAAAAAAAACAATTCTCAGAGACTCTTGTCTGGACCCCCCAAAATCAGAAAAAAAAAACAAAAAAAACTTGGGAAAACAAAAAAACAATTCTCAGAGACTCTTGCCTGGACCCTCTTTTCCTCACGACTTTCCCAGAATTGGTGTTTTTGTTTCTTTTTTGTTTTCTCAACGTTTTTTTTTCTGATTTTGGAGGGTCCAGCCAAGAGTCTCTGAGAATTGTTTTTTGTTTTTTTATAGTCTTCCCAAGGTTTTTGTGTTTTAGCATCTGAGCTTACTTCTCATCTCAAGGCATCTGTTCTTTTTGCTTACATCTGAAAACGTCTGAGCTCAACACTTCCTGTGTCCTTGTCCACATCTCCATATACAAGTCTGAGTGCATTAACTGCTGACTGGTATCAATGCTGTTGCCAATTGCATGTCCAACCAGCTTGACATGAAACTGTAATGACACCTTCCAATTTACATGAAACTGTTATGAATCTGTGTAAGCTGTAGTTCTAATTCAATGCTTGTTGCATTTGCTTCGGCTTTGTAATTTCGAAGCCTCCTCGACTTGTGCATCTTGTAGCTCAAGCATTTTACATCTTATTCTGGCGAACTTCTAATTTTAATTCCAATTCCTTTCTAATTCAACTCTCATCTAAGTTTAAATAGGTTATAGTTATAGTTCAATACAAGTTTACTTGAAATTCGGTTTTAATTCAGTTCTATCTTAGCTCTAACTCAAATCCAATTTAACTCTATCTAATTCTATGCTAGCTCTAGTCTATGTAGTTTAAGAAAACAATTGCATGGGGGATCAATCTGTTGAGGATCATGGCGTTGTGTCTTATGCTTGGTTTGTATGATGTTTATATAAAGTGCAGCTGGCAGTTGGTTGAATGAATGCCCATTTGGATCCATTTGGCAGTTGGATTGCCGTGCCAGATTGGACCCAAGCAGGAGCGCAAGAACCCAGATTTGTTCTTCAAACAGGGGCCTGCAGGGCGTTGAGTGCTTAGAACACAGATGCATGATGACCACAATTCATTCCTGCATGCCAAGCAACTGCTAACCCATATAAACAAGGGGTCACTAAGCAGAGTCGACGAGTTCCAGACGGGACAGGTGATCTGGGCAGTGAGCCAGACCCGTCAGGCAATGCACTGAAGCGCTGGGCGACTGCAGCCGGGAAGTCTGATCAGGAGTGAAAGCGCCAGTGAGATGGCCAAACAGAGCAGCCTAGTCACCAGTCGATAATTAAGATGTGCATCAGTCATCATCAGTACATTGTTCTGGCCTTTTGTGGGTCACCCAAAACGAATACCGTAACAACATATGCCAGCCTCAGGCCTCAGATCTTCATTCGCAACATCAATTCGTAAGTGGACTCAAAAGCCCCACAGTGGAAACCCTTTAAGCTCCATATCTCGCCCAACACGGAAAACGATTTCCCGTCCTATGACGCTCCGTTGAAAAGGAGATGTTGGATTTTCTCGTGGAATATCGAACCATGAAGCCGCTGCGCTGAGCTTCTTTGTTGTGCTTTTTGCTGCCCAAAAGCGGGATGTGAAAAAAGTTGTGGCACTTGATCAGATAGAATTTGGAGCAGCAGTTGGATGACCAGGATGTTTATTGCTTGGTGCTCTTTGAAGTGTGGTCCAGGGGTAGCTGTAGTTGTGAGTTCTCCTACGGTATGGCATTTGTTCAGTGTTGGTTCTTCCTTTGTAGACAAGGTCCATGTTTGGAAAGCTTGGGCAAGGAGAAGACTTCGCTGACTCTTGTGCTGCACAAGGATTTTTTGTCAATGTTGATAGCCCAACAACAACAATCAGCTTGTAGTCATAGATGCAAGTGGATGATGATATCAAAGTGTCATCAGGTCATATTCATTGAGTTCACATCCAATGGCGGTTGCTGCACATTGACATATGGATGGCCTTTTCTGGAAACAGTTTCCGATTTGCCACAGCAGCACCGAAGCATCTGAGGATGTTCAGAAGCAACTCAGGAAGGAGACGGATGAGCTTAGGAATAACGTGAAGACACGCAAGGCCGAAAATCATTTTTTGTATATTATATGTTTGCTCTTTTCTTGCATTTGGTTGCTGCCATTGAAACAGATGATGTACTCAATGTACTGTAAGACCAAATGAAAAGGACCACCATGATGAGCAACTTGGTTGTTTGAAGGTCAATTTGTTTGGCCCCACAAAAGCGGCGGACATGGTGCTAGCAGCTCTTGGTTGCACGTGCTGGTATTCAATCGACACTGGCTGGCGGCTCACAACCAATCCTATAGGTCCTATAGTACGATAGGGCCTAGGGACTGTGACATGGAAAAAGCACAGTTGATGACATCATGCACGCCGCTCAGTCGAATTGCATGCACAGTCGGATGGCATGTGGGCGACGTTTGCCAGGCCAGACGGGCTTCCAAAACAAAGGGAGGACGTAGAGGCCACTTGTTGAGACTGATGAAGCCACATGTTAAAAGAAGCTCAGGATCATCAGGCATTTTCGGCTTAGAATCCTCATGTGCAAAGCATCCAGTTGTTTTGTGATGCAGGAAAGCAACCTGAATGGCCCCAAACTAAGAGAAAGACGGAGTTGTGTTGCTGATTGGCTGACATGACAATTGGATTTGATCTTGAAGCATCTGCCAATCTACCCTTACTTATACAGGCATAAATGGGTGGGTATGTGAGGATTGCTGACGTTTACTATGTTTGTTCTACTTCTTCAGCAATCAGCTAAGGATGACACTGTGATGCTTATTCCTTGGCTGAGTGCTGATCAGAAATGATTGCTTAAAAGGGTCGGCATGGTTGTCCGTTCGCTCCCACATGCGCAATCATTGAATTGCTGAAGTTGCAGCTTTGAACTTGCCGAAGTCGGAACCGTTTCGCCTGGCCTGGCCTTCCTGATCCGGTTTGCATATGTCTTGTCTTGCCATGTCTCCAGCAACAATCCCAGAGAATTTGAACGTTGAGAATATTCTGACCAAAATATTGATATTGACACTACTGTTCTTTACATTTCTACATGGTCCTATGTAATCATATGATATCATATTACTGTATGAATGTATTTTTGTGCGGCTTGTTGAATTGTTGCACTGCAGAAACATGCAGAAACATAGCGGCATTTGTGCACCCTTACTGTGATAGCCGTGTGCTACAAAGTGAGCAATCCATCCAAAGAAGATGGTGGGCCATGAGTGCGATGCCCAAAGTCGGATTAGCAGCAGCAGGCCCTGCAAAGAGCAAGCCGCTGCCTGGCTCAAATGAGGAAGGCGCAGGATCATTCATGGGTTGATGCCGAACGTAGGATAGAAGACTTTGTGGGCCTGTGGGCTATTGCTCCGTACCGTTGATATGAATGACCCTTCATGTCAGATGTCGAGAGGCAAGGCCACTCTCCCATGTCTAATTGTAGCTTTGGCGGCTAGTTCATGGTTTCTGCCCCCCAGGTACGGAACGTGTCAGGTCAGTCCCAGAATTTCAATCATGTCAATCTTGATTACGAAACCTGACGAGTTTCAACAAACGTTGTATTGAGCAGCCATGCCAAGGCGTGGATCCAGGGAAAAGGCCATGCCGCGCGCACCGGGGCGCATATCCTTTTTGATCTATAGTATCTTGAGCAGATGCATGTAATCGAGCGTGCTTGGGGGTGGCTTAAGATGTGGCAAAGACTTCAAGCACCATGGCTGTCCATGGCTGGCCAGGCAGAGCAGAATGCCGATGCCGATGCCCCCATCGGAAAGTTCAACCCATCGCAGTACTACGAAGCTCGAAGCGCATGAGAAAGAGACTGTTTTTGAAGAAGCTTCTTGATGTGATCGAAGCATCAATCGGCAATTGCATCTCATAACTTTGGAGATGCATTTCTGACGTGCTTCTTGATGAATGATGAATACGGCATGATATGTTTTGAGAAGATGTAGACAGAAATAATACGTAAGATGAGGGATCATGAGGGATTATTCCCGTGTATGGCCATATTCCCGATGGCCCTGTGTTCAAAGAGACCAGGTGGGGATGTGATATGATATGAATTGATATGATATACACGGATGTTTGTCAAATGTGAGAGAAGGGTTTATTGACTTTTTAATGACCTGTCATCCGTTGAATCCTCCAGGTTTCAGTGCACACAAAACAGGCCGCATTGGAGATTTGCCGACCAAGGAGGAGATTCGCCACTTGGGCTCCGGTGCCTTTGGGGCTGCGGTCCTCGTCCGGCGGTTGAAGGATGGCCGTCGTTTGGTGGCCAAGAAGTGCTCGGTGAAGGCACCTGTGCTTAGAGTCAGAACTTGGACTCATACCCATGTGCCAAATGTGCCAGTTCCGCTGTGCTCCTTAAAAACCTAGTATATAATCGTATGCACTCGCCTTCCTTGATGCGCAGCAATCGCGGCGCGGCAGAAAATGGAAGAGAGGAAGTGTTGGCCTAAGCCAGATATGTCCATTCCTCCATCGCGTACAGGACATGGAGGAGAAACAGCGCCGCATGTGTTGCTTGGTCAGCATTAGAATAGGGACGCTGTTTGGACTGCGACTCCCTTTTTTGGGCTGTTTGTAGCTCAAAGGATGCAGCAAAGAGCTCCCACTGAATTTTCTTTCCCTCAGCACCTTCATCAATGGTTTCCTTTGACATTCCAAACTACTGTGCCACAGCTCGCGAGCTCACAAACCTCACAAACCCTATTTCTCACATCCTGTTTCACCCAACGTGGAGTCAGGAACTCCCTAAAGTCATTTCATGTCATTTCCAGTGGGGTCGCTGGAGAAGAGAGATCAGACGATCAGACGATCAGACTACAGAAATGTTTAGTAAAATCCGTGAGCCTTTGCAGAGCTGCGCCTCAGGCTTTGAAGAAATTGCACTCTTGCAGAAGGTGCGGCATGAATGTGTGGCGCAGCTGGTGGACTTTGTGTGGGCTTCGAAGGAGAAGGGCACGCTTTTCAGGTGTTGAAATGGTCGACTGAGATGTCTAAATTCTTTGTTGCAGTGCCTGCGCCTGTGCTGAATGATCTGTATGGAGGGCACAAGTATAACGTTCTGTGGCCACGGCATGCCTCGCCGCTTCAGGACATGCTTAGTTATTGGATCGTCCTGAAGTTCTATCCTGGTGGCGATGTCCAAAGTGAGATCGACACATGCCGTGAGACACCTGCCGTGACAGCAGATTTTGCATTGTGGCCCTGAACAATTGCAGCAGCATACCGTAATTGGATGATTAATTACTAATCACTTGTTCTCAATCAGCCAGGTGCTTCGGTGTTCGTTTTCGTTTTTGAGACGGCCTTATTGAGGAACCAGTTGGAGCTACCAATCGGAAAGGTGAAGAACTGGGTCACGCAGCTGTGCATGGCCTTGAAGCACGTTCATAAGCTGCGGATCGTGCATCGAGATGTCAAAGGCAGCAACATGTTTATCTCCGGAGAGCCTTTGCTGTAGTTTACGTCCGGTCGATGAGGTCAGGTAAGGACTGTCAGCAAGTTCAATCAACTTGCGAAGCTTTGACTGCAGACTTTCAATCGCTACTTTCCCTGTAGCCCTAATGTACCCTAAGTGGCTTTCGGGCTGAAATGTGTCTACTTTTGTGTCAAGACCCAGTTGACAGGCACAAGGAGATTGTGTTTTGGCCTATGACTAAGACGTATTGTATATATAAGATGTACAGCATTCCTCCATTGTGTGGGTTTGTATGTAGTCTCAAGGTAACAAAAAAAAGAGTCGTGATCGTGATTCACTCATCCAGACAAGGGTTACAGTTCTCAGGCGCGCAACATCGTTTTGGGCGACTTCGGTGTCAGCAAACAGCTGACCGAATCGGAGCAAAAAGCCATGACATCAGAGCCTTGGCTCCGGCTGAGAGTGCTGCATTGTCAGATACAGCATTGGAAGTGAAATATTGTGGACAAGTCCCATTGCCCAAGCTTTTGGTTCTAGAGGTACTTATTGGACATCCTGCTTGCTACATACAACATACAACTCCTTCGCTGGTCTCGTGCAACTGCTTCCGACCCCATAAAACAGAGAGACAACAGAGCCCAAGAAAGATATCACAGAGCGCTTTGGGCAAATGGAACTTGCAGAATGAGCTTGAAGACCCGATAAGACTTGCCAGCGTTGTCCATGTTTGTTTCTTTTTTTTGGAGGTTTTTCTCCGGTATTGTCTCAGAGCGCCCAGTTGCCTAGAGCCAGCACGTATTACGATGTATTACGTGTCCAGGTGGTTTGAAACGTGAAAGTTCCTTAATCTGCGGATCACGCCGGGTCATTTTGGCAGTTCTTTTGCTGAGGTGGGAAGCCCGATGTACATGGCGCCGGAGTGGTGGGATGGCCGCGGCGGCACGGCAAACTCTGAATCTGGGATGGCATTGAGTCGCACAACTGTCGTCACCAAAAAAACAAATATATATATATATATCATATATCATATATCACATATGCGGCAGTTCAAGCAAGCATAGGTATTGCATTTGGACACCTTCAGAACTCTATCAGTATGAAAATACGGTGGAGGCAGGCTAAACATGAAAACCCCCACTCCAACAGCATGGACCAACAGCAACAGCATAGACAGCCGCTTGACTGGGTCAAACATGGTCATTCCAAACATAGTTTGCAAAAAAAGACACGGCGAGTGAACACAAGGATATGTGGAGCGTTGGAGTGGTCCTCTTTGAGCTCATGGCATTGACACTTGGCATCAGCTTCTGCGTCAGGGTCAACCTCTTTGGCCAAACGCCTTGCTTTCTTTGTTCAGACAAGCAGCAAAGCATAGCGAAGCATTGTGCAAGTGGGTGGACACTTCTTTTGGCGAGAAACATGGGCCCGGGCAGGTTTCCCAGGATATTTTATAGTATTTGGGTGGATGCAGGACGACATAGTCTCCGAGTCATTGACATGGATTTGGAAAACCACCTGTTTGTAGAGGACATCCAAGGGGTCATTCAATATCATTGTCCACTTCCAAGACGATTTCAGGAAGTGTAAATCAATGTTCACAAGTAATCTTTCCGGCACCAATCATTGCAGAGTGGTCCAAGACCCGTTGGAACTGAGACCTGTGCCGGTCGTCGGTGCCGCGTGGCACCAAGGCACAGGCCATTCGAAGCGCAGAATGCGGTGGCCTCAGAGAAGTTCGGCGCAGGGGCCGCAAGGGATTTAGCATTTTTGTTAGCTGAGCAATAGCTACTACTGTACATGACATTTTGGGTGGAGAGTGGTGCTACTTGCATGGCAATAATTGACGCACTTATGTAATTATATGTACATATATATAGAGAGAGAGAGAATGTCTTCCATGGTGTGATGGTGTAAGTCCATGCTTTGGGGTTTGGCGGACCAATAGAATTGCCATTGAAGATCTCAACAGCGGCAGACCAATCTAAAGATACTAAAGCTTGAGCTCAACTTGGGTCACAACAAGTCGCACAACTTGGATTGGACGGCAGACCGGTCGACCCTTTTGGATGTTTTTGTTGACTTTGAGGTCCTGTCCTTGGTCCACAAGATCACCACAGAAGAGCCTGCAGCGTTGCCAGAAGATGCGGATCCGCAACTCTCTAGTCTTGCCATGCAGCTGTTGGACAAAAGACACTCGTCGAGAACGTGTGGCTCTTTTCGACGTCGACTGTTGACGTTTTGGCGATCACGGCGTTGACCGTCTTGTAGCATAGAACAGTAGCACGATGTAGAACTTGTAACCAACACCCGTTCGGTTCGGGACTTTCTTGCGTTTCTTGTCCAACTTGAAGACACCCTAGAGGCCCTAGCAGGCCCTAGTAGACTACGCAGGCGCGGTTGCTTTCTAGAAGGTGAGTTGGTACTGGACAAAAGGTGCTTCCTCTCAAGCGGATGGACAAAAGGGCTACCGAAGTGCTGCTGTCTCAGCACCCCAGCGTCACAAAGGACCTGAGCGTCGACCAAGTGCTGCCGAAGTGCTTCAAGCGAAAGGCTTGGAGGATGCGGAAAAGATTCTTCAGTGCCTTTTCCGCATCCAGCTTCATAAAGGTGAAGGATGGTGGAACAACGAGAAGAGAGGCCCACATGACCCACATTAATTCTTCATCACGTTAGACACTTACTGTGGGACCAACCAGCCCCGACGTCATACACGGTTTCCACATTCAAGATCAATAATATGAAATCCAGGGCATTACAAATGTGTTCTCGTTTTTTCTCACAATTGGATTGAGTGGATTGAGTGCCTGGAGGATCTACCGCGAAGCATTGGAAAAGAAATCGGATCGACACCAGCGGAGGCGGGATCCGAAGGGTGGTGGGGAAGTGCCGGATTTGTTTGGAGCTGCAAGGTGGGTCATGGGGTCATGGGTGTTTTGTTTTAGCATATATAATGCGCTAGCATATGATGACCAAGAGAACAAACATATTCAAAAGTTGTGCATCAAACGTCGTGTTGTTTGCACTTCACGATGATCCTTGCTTGTGCATTTGACCGAACGTGCAAGATGCCACTTGGGGTTGATTGGAGGGAGCACGGGCAAACCAAAATGGAAGATGGGCTGAGATGTCGACCAAACGAAGAAGCAGGTCCAGGTACTTGGTAATTCTTTGGAATCAACAGGAACCCAGGAATCAACAGCTCCCTTCTGAATTCCGCAGTCATCCGAGTCATCCAACTTGCAGGCTTGCCAGGGAGGAGGATGCTGCGGCTGGCAAACGGCCCCGACGCTTCAGCCGGTCAAGCAGCATGAGCAGCGAATGTGAGAGCAGTGCTCACCTCGGGATAATGGAATGGCATTGGATTCGGATGTCAGTCAAGTTGATTCTTTTGGTTACCCCAACTGAGGTGGGAATGCCGCAGGATTTCGGGGCATCAACCTGGTTGACATTGCCAGAAGGCTGGCATTCCTAAATGTTGAAGCAACATAATGTGAGCAACATGCAACATGGACGTCACTCCTGTGACTGTGTCCTGTTGGACCTGTTTCAGAGGTTGCGGTTACAGACTTGCAAAGTGGTTGCACTTCAAATACATGTGTCAGATTGTGTCAGGCAGGCTGGTGTGGTACCCAAATTCCAGGAGGAAGGCCGGTTGCGCCGCGTCCGCCCCCAGATTTCTCGGCATCCGCTCGAGACAAATGGGGTTCACAACTTTACCCTTTTAGACTTGTGCTATATGAGATCTATGGATGTTGCTAGGTATGGGGGGCCATTAAAAGGGGTAGCCAAGCCTAAGGCACTTCCAGGCCTTGAAAAAGCCTTGTGCATTCAGCTTGCTCCCTTCTAGTCCGAAGTTGCCCTTGAGGATGTTCAGGCACACTCTATACTATATATCATCTCATTCTGTTCTCATCTCCGCATTTATGGAATTGTAGATACTTTCACTTGCTAAACGATCTAAAATGGATTGTGAGACCGAAACGATCTAAAATGGATTGTGAGACCGAATCCGTTTGACCATGTTCACTCTCAGTGATCAAGTCAAAGTTGCTGCAGTTGACACAGCGATATTACAGCACCAGTTGGCTTGTTGTGCTCACGTCGTGTGCAGAGGAGCCTCTGAAGATGAGGAGGACGAGGAGCAGCAGTGCTTTATGTGACCGAATGGTCACCATCCTTTCAACACACTTGCAATCAGGTTGTTTTTGGTGATTAGCTGCTTCCAGTCAGCCCAAGTTCGTTAACAACACATGCCCCCCCCCACCCCATACCAGTTTGCGAGTTTCAGTGCCTGTTGTCAAAGGAATCCTCCGAATGGGATGAAGACGAGGAGGAGGCGCTCTATGTGTTTCTGTTTTTTTTAGCTTTCACTTTGCTTGCTTTCTTTCTTCCTTTCTCTCCATGTGTATGTGATGTTCCCCGCTCCCTCAACCAAGGAGTTCGCTGGGGATGTCAATGAGGTAGAGTAAGTCGCAGTGTAGGCCCTTCTTCTTTCCCTGGAAAAAACTGCAAGTTATCACCACATGTTTTGTTGAATTAGGAGGGGGAGGGGGAGGGTGAGGGTTGGTGGCGTTGGTGATTTGTACCAGGTTCTTCCATCCCCACCTCTTCGTAGTCGGTGGGGAGTATGTTTCTTTGTATTCGTGGTTGTTACTCTCAGTTTGGTGGTGTTGCACCGGAACTGGATCAAGCAGCACTTGACTTGGCCCAGGAGGAAGCAGCCGAGTCTGAATCGGCCCTGTCTTCGGAGCTTCAGCCTGAGCTTGACCAGTGGTCTGTGTGACACAAATAAGATTCCACTGTAATTAGGATGGACTCCTGGCATGGGGCTGCTGCCGGAAACTTATGCGAATGAGCCGACAAAGTGCCAATCCACGTATATAACTTAATTAACAGGTGTGATGCAGTGAAGTGATCGTGCGATACAAGCATGGCTAAGCATCATTACGTTGCATGACGGCTATGGGGTAATATGCGTTGAGGTAGAAGATCCAGAATGTCTTGGGGAAGTTCTGGCAGGTGCTTTCACAGATCTATTCTATGATCTGAGCGTTACTGAGTTGGACAGATCAAACTCAGCATGCAGACTCGGAGTCGGACTCAGCTAGCGCCTACACCGTACACCCATGTACACCCGACTGTGGAGGAACTAGCCATAACTTGCCTGACAGCGGCTGTACGTGCTTCCATTTGCAGGCAGCGCCTTTGGAGAGGTCAGGTTCGTATGATTGTTGGAGAGCAGTTTGGGTCTCTCAGGAGATTCAGTTCATTGCTATTTTCCAGGGCGATTCACAGGGATTCAGCGTAGGTGCCAGTCAGGTGACTGCCCATGAGGAAGCTCCCCCCAAATGCATCGTGAAGCCAGGCGGATTCTCTTGGGAATCTGTGCGAGGCCAAGACCATCCAGCCAAGTGTTTGATGTGTTTTTTAAACATAAGCACGGGCAAGCTCTTGCTGCAAAAGTGCCTGCGTATGTTTATGAGAAAAGCACGATTGGCAGGAGTGTGACCCCAGGCTTTGGCTCAAAGTAGCTAGCCCAGCAAAGCCATGTGCATAATTTATCAGGTGCACATATACAATATATATTCATAATTATTCCTATTATTGGATATGTAAACATGGCTTGGACTGCAGCACATTGTGCCGGCAAAGGTGGACAATGTAGTCTTCCCTCAAAAAAAGGGATTGCACATGATAAAATCAGAAAAAAATCCACAAAGAGGCTAACATTATTTGGAACAAAGGGTTGTTGCATTAGTGGTTGAGGTGCTGCCTTGAGGATCAATTTTAGGATCATCTTTGTCCATCTATGCCCCCCAAACACAAGAAAAGGTCCAGAATTCTTTCAGCAGCCAAGTTGAGCTGCTTGGGTTGGAGCATTGGATGATATTGGATGCTTCGATGGAAGACCTCATTCACGTAGCGGTGCTCAGCCTCTCCGGGAGAAGTTTGGCTCTTCAGGCTATCAATGGCTATCATATGTGGCATAATGTTCTTCGGATCTTGTTACCAACCTGGCAGGTGAAGCATGACGATCCAGTGGCTTTCCTGAAACGCTTGGTGGCCTCTACCTGGAAGGCACAGAGCGCGCCAGAGCGCGCGCGAACTCCAGATGGGCTCAGTCTTCGTCTTGCCATGAGAATCTGAGGTGCCCAGCATGTGCTTGGAGAATCTTGGCGTGGAAGGCCCTCCCCGCGGAGGCAGTCTCCAGTGTGCATATCTCATGCCCGTAAGAATCGCATGTTGATATTTCAAGGAGGGCTTCAAACAAAGCTTAATAGCAAGCGCATCGCTAAAAGTAGCGATGCACTTGCTACTAGTAGCGATGCATTTGTTAGTAATAGCGATGCCATCAGTCAGTGAACTGCTCCCAAGTGGACTGGGGAAGCCATCGGAGCCCTTCCACTGCCCGTCGGCCCCGTCATTCAGGATGTCAATTGAGACGCATGTCTTGGACGACCAAGACGTTCTGGGCAAATGGGCGTGCAACAAGGAGCTTGAAGTCTCGGCACCCCGGTTTGCAGTTTTCGATCTGTCGGACGGCTAGCAATGGTTTGAATCGGCTTGCAGTGCATTCAGCAGTGCTTCGAAAGGTGCTTGAGTTGGAAGAAGGCTTATGATCCTGCCAGCTACCACTTGTGTTTGTTGGGTGTCAATGAGCCACATGGGTATTGTTATCTATCGTTCATACTTTTTCAATTAGAAAGCTACTGGTTCTTACAGCTAGCCTTCACGAGCACCGTATTGAGGCACTAGTGGTGTCCGAGCGGCTGTATGACGCGATTGAGAACGGCAGGCTGCCGGTGACTTGGAGTGAGGGTCAAGGCGGAACTCGCCGAGGCGTGCATGGCACGAACAGACGCCTTCGCATCCTTGGGACTTTTAATATACTACACACGAGGGGCTAGGGCTAGACGCTTCCATGCAGCGTCATGCAGAGTCGGATAATCCTTCTAAATGCTTTTGGCCGCTGATTCATTGGAAAGACATTTGGTACCAGTGCCTGTCCGATACAAGATGCATATATGATACATTGGTTCTGAAAATAATCACTGCCAACCGTCCAGTCTTGACACCTGTTGTAATCTATGCTATGATGGGCGGGTGATGCCAATGGAGACCATTCGTATTTGCATGGCCATCGCACAACTGGTGGGACCGAGTGGACTACCGAGTGGTACCCACCTCAAACGAGAATTGGATATGCTGCACCCCCCCAGTGATTTGGAGAGGTGTTGAACATTTATGGAATTTCCTGGGAAATCATGCAGACATCCCAAAAACGATCCAGAAGCACCAGAACTATTTCGGATGTTTCCCACATCCGAGAAATCAATGCCAAACAAGCCACATCAATACCACGATGACTCGTGTGATTGGCAGGGTGGGGACCCCATGGGCCTAGCAGCAGTAGCGTAGTGTAGTTACCCATAAAGAAAGAGATTGGCTTACAGGTGCTTTTAGTTTAATTGTGTCCTTACCGGTATGCCTCACAGCCCTCAAATCACTCTTAGGCTCCCCACTTCATTGTCAAAGACAGGACATATTGAAATATATATTCCGAAACTTTTCCGCAAATCAAGAGGTGTAACTGTTTATTGAGGGACGTGGAGAAGATTTTCTTAGGCCGTGTTCGACACGAATCCTCTTCGACCTCGCCTCTTTTTCTCCTCGCTCCGAGGAGCGTGCCAATGCTTTAGCTGCACTACCGCAAATCGCACTCCCGGGTGATGGTCGTGCCTTGGTCGCCTAAGATAGCGGTGATTGGCCGTTGCCAATCCCAGGAGGTGATCGATGAATACAAATGAATACAACGGTCTCCCAAGGTGATGGTTCTGTAGATGGACGCATCGTACAGGCTTGTGCATCATGCTTTGCGAACCCCTTCTCGCGATTCATTCTGATTGATTGATGCGTGCAAGAAATGAATAGTGCGAGCACTTCTTCAAGGACGCTCCTCCCACCTGCGTTTGCTCGTAGCAGGTTACCTATAGATAGTGGTTTGTCTAGCGCTTACTTCATAAGTAGGCGCCTATACTTAGTTAAGTAAGGGCTAAACACAGATAGATGCACATGCTCGTGGCGTACTTTTCCGCAGACACTTTTGGACATCATCTTCCCAGTGCACCGACGCCACTCGCTGCCATGGACCTCGGCTTCGTGGCAGGAAAGAGCCGACCAGCTCTTCAGGCGGAGCATTTCGGACTTTGCATGGCTGGTGGAGGTGTTTGGACGGTTTTGGTGGTTGGTGTTTGCATGGGTTGGTTGCGGGGTTTGCATTTCGATGTTGACGTTTTTTTTTCAAAAGCAAAGTAGATCGAAGTCGTCCAAGGTCCTTGGGAAAGCCCTTTGTTCAGTGTCCATGTATAAACCGCCTCTACCCAACTATACACCGTATTGTAATAGTTATATGGAGCTGGCGCGGAGTTCCTTGCCGTCAGGTGCCAACATCAAGAGATCAGCTCCATACAAACTGTCCACCTTCAGCAGTGCGAGGCGAGAGAGACCGACTGCCATGGCATGGCTGCTTGGCTCAGGGTATGGCAGTACATGGGGCGTCTCCACCAAATAAATGAAAGTGCACAATCGATCAACTCAATCATGGGTACCGCCCATCTCTAATTATTTGAGGGTCGGGGTTTACCTCTGGAAATAATTTAGGCCAAATAGTTTTCCAAACCGAGTGCAAAATTATTTCAAAACAGATGTGGTGCTATACCTAAAGTATTTTCTTGATATGTTTGTATAAAATTTGGCATACATCATACACCTAAAATAGTTTAACCATGCACAGTCGTTTAAGGGACCTTAAATATTAAACATGCTTGCTGACCAGCCAACCTCAATAAGTAACCAAGACCTCAAATAAATTCAGCAAACTAATATGTCAGGATGTGCCTCGTCATCAAACATGCTCTCATCCATCCGCGTCTCTAGCTCCTTTGTTTCTGGACCCATGATTCATGATCATTCACACTGAAATGCGGCAGCTCTTTCTGCATCAAAAAGCTTAGTTTGGTCCGTGCCATGTCCTCCACAAGCTGCTGAAGTTCAGGGTCATCAGGCACATGGTCACCCTGTGTGGGTTGCTCCTGGTCATGTTCATCGTCATTTGAGTCATCGCAGTCATTTGCAAAGTCAGTCAGGCGTTCCACTCCCAAAGCGTAATTCCTTAGCATGCTCCTTCCTTAGGTATGTCGCATGTTGTCGCTCAAAAATGACTTCAAAGCATCACCCTCCTCAAGTCGACACAAGAATCCTGTTGTGGTGTACCTTCTAATCATTCTAATACAGTAATTCAAATCCCGACCTTCACAATCCTAGTGAACAAAGAAATCCCCCATCCCAGGAAAATGCACGCAGGGAGGGACCTAGGTAAAATGCATGCATGCATTTTTGGTTTTCTGCCTATAGGGTTGCACACAATGACATGACATAAGCATGTAAAGGGCGCAAAGAGACCTTCTCAATACTGAAACACCCCTCTATATTTATATGTGTGTGTGTTTTAACATGGAAGGGGGCCGTTTAGTAATAGCAGGCAAGGGATTCATTAATGTATTGACCAAACGTGATTCAGGGGCTTGTCAGTTGGGCTAGATCAAGTGAGACATATTGTATTCCGATGATCGAGGCTGGCCAGTTTGCCTCACCAAGCCATGTAGTTTCAGTTGAACTGTCCCATGATGCCTTGGCCAGCTCGCTGGCGGCCAGGATGATCAACGTGCTATATACATGTAACCCATACATACCCATACCCAATCAAACGTGGATAATTTCAATACTTGCTCCATATCAAAGCCAATCAAGAAGAGAGGGGGGGACCTCGAAAAATGCAGCATACATTAAACAGGTACCCACCCCCACGACATGAGGGATACAAAGAACATATTTTGCTGTTGGGCGTCCCCAGAAATACCTACAAATCATTACCTCACACAGGCCAAGAATTTCCTAGTGGCTCGAGAATCTGTTTTGGTGCGAATCAGTACCTCACACAAGCCCAGAAATTCCTAATGGCAGTACCCCACACACAAGCCCAGTATTTCCTAGTGGCTCGAGAAACCGTAATGGCTCGAGAAGCATATTTTGGTGGTGAGGGACCTCAGAATTACCTACAAATCAGTACTTCGCACAAGCCCAAAATGTCTTAGTGGCTCGAGAAAGGTATTTATTTTGGTGGCGGGGGGGACCGGGGGACCCTAGAAATTCCTGCAAATCATTACCTCACACAAGCCCAGAATGTTCAATATAATGGCTGCCATCCTTGGAGCTGGAGGACAAGCTGCACCGGCTTCAATCACAAAAGCATCTCCCAAAAAACACAAAGCACTTGCAATAATAGGCAATAAGATTGTTTTCTTTTTTCTTTTTAGCCTTGTCAG